TGTGGAACCCCACTTGTTATACCTTTCCAGCAGGATTGAGAACCATTAATAACTACTCTCTGGCTGTGTCTACATTGGCACCCTTTTCCGGAAAAGGGATGCTAATGAGACCAGTCGGAATTGCAAATGCTGCGGGGGATTTAAATATCCCCCGCGGCATTTGCATGAACATGGCTGCCGCTTTTTTCTGGCTCGGGGCTTTGCCAGAGAAAAGCACCAGTCTAGACGGGATCTTTCGGAAAATAAAGCCTTTTCCGAAAGATCTTTTATTCCTGATTTTAAGAGGAATAAGGGATCATCCGGAAAAGACTTTATTTTCCGAAAGATCCCGTCTAGACTGGCGCTTTTCTCCGGCAAAGCCCTAAGCCGGAAAAAAGCAGCAGCCATGTTCATGCAAACGCTGCGGGGGATATTTAAATCCCCCGCGGCATTTGCAATTCTGACTGGTCTCATTAGCATCCCTTTTCCAGAAAAGGGTGCCAATGTAGACACAGCCTCTGAGTATGGTTATCCAGCCAGTTATGCACCCACCTTATAGTAACCCCATCTAAGTTGTATTTGCCTAGTTTATTGATAAGAATATCATGCGAGACCGTATCAAATCCCTTACTAAAGTCTAGGTATACCACATCCACCACTTCTGCCTTATCCACAAGACTCATTATCCTACCAAAGAAAGCTATCAGATTGGTTTGACATGATTTATTCTTTACAAATCCATGCTGGCTGTTCCCTATCACCTTACCACCTTCCAAGTGTTTGCAGATGATTTCCTTAATTACTTGCTCCATTATCTTCCCTGGCACAGAAGTTCAACTAACTGGTCTGTAGTTTCCTGGGTTGTTCTTATTTCCCTTTTTATAGATGGGCACTATTTTTGCCCTTTTCCAGTCTTCTGTTAGTCCCAACAGAACTCCCTTGCTGTTTTTGCCTTTATATTGATTTACTAGTTGCATCTGTTCCAGCTTGTTTCAAGCCTCGGCATGTGCACACACAAACAAATAGAGGTACTTGTTTAGAAAAGATGGAGTTACTTCGCTCTCTCTCCCCCCCTGCCCACCCACTACTGTAGCACAGCCACCTCTTTGAGCAAATGCAGCAGCTGTTTCAACAGCCCACAAAAATTCTATGCTTCAGTCCAGGACAGAAAGATTCTGCTGAAACTGCAGGGACTCGGAGGACCGTTAATCAGAAAGAATATGAGGGCTCTAGTTAGAATCTGTCCATGGTTGTAACCACTGTCCTTAGGAAAGGCATTTTGTGGTCTAAGTCACCATGAGATTTTCTATCTTGCATGAAGGATGCAGGCACGTTCCCCAAAGAGGGAAAAACGGTGATTATTGAATAATTATGCCCATTTTCCTTCTTGTAAACTGAGGTTTTCAGAGAAAAAATTCTGGCCAACACCAAAGGGTTTAGTTCCGGAGATTATTTACATAGCCTGAATAAAGAGGATTCATTGGAAAGAGATTACACTCGGGACAGCCAGTGTGTGTGTAGACATATATGTTGAACACAGAGAGGAAATTACTGCTCAGTTCCCCCACCTTCTCCCCCATCCACCCATGCAGCAGAAATTTTGAGCTGGAGGGTAGAAGCAACGTGAAGGGAGCAGCCCTTCCAACAAGAACACTTTTGCTCAATATGATTTCTTGAGGCCAGCGCACTGAAGTTCTATATCAGAACGTTGATCGCCCATGACTCCAAAGGGTCTCCCAAACTACACACGTACACCAGTCACCACTAACGGGCAGCCACCTCTGGGGAGAAGATCAGCAGCTGACACAGCATGCTGCAAATCAGGGAGGGAAGGCAAAATGCGTCAGCTTGGACAGCTGCAGAAAACACGTCATGAGTGCCCCGCTACGTAAAAGGAGATGGACTGACCGAGTTAGCCAGCAATGAGTTCAGGTCACAGATGCTGCATGTTTTTTTCTTGTAGCCTGAATTAAGTTTAGTGAGAACACAACTCCGAATCAGATCTATATCGAACAAAAAGGAGAATAATCCATGAATAATGTGACTGGAATCCATTCGCTTCTAGCTACAGGGAAATTCTTCCTACTTGGCCTCTTCCCCATACCAACATGTTTCATAGTTTACGGTTGGAAATGTCATGCTATAAAGCAAATGGCTCAGAAGGTTAAAGGCCTATTGAAATTTTCAGAGTGTATGTTTCCCAGCTGTTGCCTTCTTTGGGTTGTTGGCTAAAAGAGCTGCCTTCGTCCCAGTGGTAACCAACAAATCACATCTAGCTAGCCCTGCTTCAGCGGGATGAACGACAGCCAAAGTACATTTGCAGTTATCCGTCATCCATTTTTATAGCTTACTTATCAGTACACATGTAGCCATTACTGCCATCATGTTCCATCCTCCCAACTTCATTACCAAGGATAAATATTCCATTGCTAAAACCAGATCCTAGGCCAGCTCCTCCTCTGCACCCAGCTGCAGGGGATGAGAACCAAAAGGAGCCAGGAGCAGTGAATTAACTGTGGGGATGGTTCTAAACCAGTCCTGGGACCACCTAGATCAGGCTAAGGGCTGCTCTAAGTTACACCTGCTGGCTAAAGGCCTCCCCGAGGGCCATGCTCTCGGAGGAGTTTGCTACAGCCCAATCTGTACTAACTCCAATTCCTCCCTTCCCGACACTGGTTTTTCCGGAAAATCAGCCACTTTTCCGGAAAAACTTGCCAGCTGTCTACACTGGCCGCTTGAATTTCTGCAAAAGCACTGACGATCTCATGTAAGATTGTCAGTGTTCTTGTGGAAATACTATGCTGCTCCCATTCGGGCAAAAGTCCTTTTGCGCAAAAGGGCCAGTGTAGACAGCTCAGATTTGTTTTCTGCAAAAAAGCCCCGATCACGAAAATGGCGATCAGGGCATTTTGTGGAAAAGTGCATCTAGATTGGCACGGACGCTTTTCTGCAAAAAGTGCTTTTGCGGAAAAGCGTCCATGCCAATCTAGATGCTCTGTTCCGAAAATTCTTTTAACGGAAAACTTTTCCGTTAAAACCATTTCTGGAAAATCATGCCAGTCTAGACGCAGCCTGGGTGCTGGAGGGAGAGTGGAACTGGGCCAGCTACATTGGATCTGCACCATCTATCACTCCACCCACCAGAGGAATACCCACCTGAAGACGTGCAGCTGCTTTCGATTTTATAGAGGCACAGACAGAACTGGGGCCCAGGATCTGGATGTTTGTATTTGTGTCTCATACCAGTATGTTCCACCCATATCACACTGTGACTCAGATGAACTAGGATCGTAATTCCATCTTTTTTTATTCCAGATAGGAGCCCCGTGATCTGGCTATTCATTTGGCCACGCCTCTGGAGGCTCACACCGATGCAGAATGCCTTTTCCCAGGAGGAAGATGTATGATGGCGTCATAAAAATCTGGAACAGCTGGGGGTTTTTAAGAAGCACCTTTTGATAGCTGGCAACTTTTAAACAGCATGTGAATGACTAAACACTTTTATAATGGATCAAACAGAAAGCCGCCTTGCAGCACAATTTATTTCAATGAGACTATAAGATCCTCAGGACAGCTAGAGACCTGGTGTATTTTTATTTGTATATCTTTGCCGTGACCTATGAACAACAGACTATTTAACTTGGCTCGGGTGTTCCATAAAGATTTATCAGTATGAGTTCAGCTTTTAATTTGGACCACGTTAGACTGAGCCACAGAAAGTGTCTGAAATATTAAAACCTGGTCCAGGGATATATATCAAGAAGGGATGGCTCTTATTTAATTTGACATCTGAGCCCAACCCTGCATAACCCTGTTCAGCTCTGGGTAGCGTCTTACCTTTACCTGTCACATTAAACCAAATAACTAGATTTTCTAAACTTTTAGACATGCACAAAGTACCCGTGGCACCAGGCAGAGCTGGCATGGGAACTGCTTGCATGTGGCCCCCTGTGTTGTTAAGCCACTCTCAGAACAAGAATATGCCATTGCGATTTAAATGCCAGTGACATACCGTCTGCACAGTCATGCATTGTTGCCAATAGTAAGGCTACACTTTTAACAGAGGGAAATTTTAGAGTGAAAAAACTAAGATCGACACCCTAGGTGAGATCAGAATTTGGTCACATGGAAGTGATCCTCAGGTAGTTAATTTTGAACAAGTTCCACAATCAACAGCAACCGAACTGAGAACAAAACATACACCTTTAACAATTTCCTGTCCACTTTTGATACTACCCAATTCTCCAGACTAAGAAATCATTATCTGCTGTGGCCAGATATGCCTTCAAGCCATTCTGGAGTTTTAGAATTTACCATTCCTTAAAAGCATAGGAAGTTTGCTCTCCCACGTCTATTACCAAAAGTTCTTTAGAAGCCCCAGATTGGCCTCAAAATGCTCTGTGCACCCCCTCCTTTTGTTACTCTGATCTTCCATTGAAATAGACACAGCCAACAAAATAGTCTTGCCCACTGTAGTCCCCACCCCCTTAAAAAAAAGTACTAACAAACCAGCAATTTTTAAGAATGCATAAGGTTTGCCATTATTATTTGGCACCCCAAATAAACGTTCACTTCCTCTCCTCTCCCCTCCCCCATTTGAGTCTGGAAAGTGAGAAACTAAAGGAAAGAGAGTAGATACAGGAATGGAGTTGCATTTATAGACAAGAACCAAAACAAAAATAAAGACACAACCTCTTTGCATACAGAAAAGTAGAACACCCAGTGTGCCCCACGCCTCCTGTTTGCCCAAAGCTTTCTCTCCGGTAAAAAAAAGTTGATCTATCATCTTCCTTTCAACTTTGGAGACTGAAAAATCATCCTTTTTTGTGATCTTATTTGCTCGTTAGTTTCCCCTAGGTGACCCATTAAACATTATTAACTGAGGCTAAGCAAGAGAGTCTCTGATGTACGGCTTTTTGAAATACGGCCTTCCCTGAGGAAAAGCAAGGTGTAGAAACCAAGGCTTTTCTTTTCTCTCCTCAAAGATGGATCATGCATGCAAAATGAAATCTGCTACTTACAGTATGTTTGTCTGGGGTGGAACTTCAGGGATGTTTTCCAGCATCAGATGCATGCATCGTACTGTAGTCCTAAAACACAGGCAGCGGCTAGGACAGGAGCAGGCGAAACCGGGCAAGAGGAGAAAAAGAAAGAAGCGGTGTACAACTGCAGCTTTGACCAGCATTGTGTTTGCTGGAGTGTACTTTCCCTGATTCTGAACTGCAGGGAGCTGGCAAAAGTTTCCCAGCCTTGAGGTCCAGGAGGAGGGGACTCATCAGCATGTGTTTTCCATTAAATTAAGGCAGTTTGACAGTGTAACCTCCCACCCCCTCTGCAATAATGTCCATTGTTTGAGATCAAACTGCTCCCCCACTCTCATTTAAGACATTTGTACATAGCCACTCTCAATTGATTTTGACCTATTCCCGCCTTGGCTCCCAGCTGGAATAGTAAATTAACTCCTCACGTTTCTCTCTGGCACATTTCTACATTTGCTTAAGAGTACAAACAACAGTCCATTGACATTGGAAAAGTCAGCTGTGTCGAGGCCAAAGAAAAAATGGCTTGGTGGTTAAAGCACTGGCCAAGGACTCAGGCAGGTTGGGTTTAACTAATTCTACCCGACCTTGGGGAATATCCCTTCGTAATCTTACTCTCCTCAAGATGGAGATGTAAATTCCACTTGGAGGAGGCTGCACTAGCTCTGACTGAGCTAAAAAAAAAAAAAGTAGCCCCAGCACCATAAATGCATCGCAACGGGTCCCTAATCTCATATGATGAGGCAAAGAGCAAACTAAGTCATCAATACTTAGCTAAAGACAGGGGTGGGTTTGTTCCTTATAAATAGTGCCTAATTGAGATAAATCACAGGTAGGTAAACAGTACCACAGGTTGAACCTCTCTAGTTCAGCATCCTTGAGACCTGACTGGTGCCAAACCTGAGAATTTGCCAAATCATAGGAGGTCTAGATTGTCTACCAGCATTACCAACACTTCCAGGGCCAGCTCGAGCTATTCCTGGGCAGTGGGCGTGCGACGCATATGCGGCTCTGCCCCCAGGCGCACGGCGCATGTGTGGCCCGGCCCCCCGGCGTGCTGCGCACCTTACAGCTGTGATCGGGCGTTTGGTGCCTGATTGCAGCTCTAAGGGGTGCCATGTGGCCGGGTGCACAGTGCCCCATGCAGCTGTCATCAGGTGCCCCCCATAGGTTGGCACCCCGGGCAGCTGCCCGGCTAGCCCCCCCATCTTAATCCGGCCCTGAACATTTCCACTGCTTGCTGGGTTCTTAGAAGACATTTAGGGGTCATTTAGAGTTAAACAACAGCACAAAAGACAGATAACCAGGACTGGTGGCGGTAAACAAACTTTACAGGACCACGGGAAACTTGGCTACACCCATGATAAGGGGACATCTGGCTAATTAAAATCCTGCGGGACCTTGGATGTTGCTGGATCAGAGTGTGCTGGACTAGACAGTTTCAACCTGTATAACGAACAATCCAGCACAGACGGGAGTGAAATGGACTAGATGACCCAACTAGTAAGTCCCATCTCTCATTGCAAGGATTTTGATTGTTGCAATATGGATTAATTTGATCAACGAATAAAAAGGCTTTGTGGATGGTCTGCCTTGGCCTACATGTAGAAAAATATCCAGGACTATGGAGAAGGCATTTAAAATTGCCTTTTATTTACTGTATATATATACACAATATGAACCAAGGACTGAAAATAGTGAAACTAATTATCTAAATTATGGAAATTCAACCCGCCTCCACCCATGTTTTGCAATGTATGAGAAAATTCAGAAGTGAAGGGAAGACTTAACGGTTCTTCATACTGGACATCTTGCCTTTTAATTAAAAAAAAAAACCTTACAGTCTGGAAGTTTAATAATTATTTTTAAAAGTGATGTGCCATTTTAATATGTGTATAAAGCATGAAAGTTCATTAGTGGGTAGGGCTATTACAGGACCACTGCACATGGCAAATTTCCAGGCTTCTGTGGGATCAACTCGAAGCTCTTTTTAAGTCAGTAATTTTCTCTCTCTTGTAAACTGTAAAATACAATTACAATGACAACAGTCTAATTAACAAAAGTCGGATTTAAACCGTCAAAACCCAGGAACCTAGGAACTGAGGACGGAGTTCCACCCATAACAGAGTCTTTCAACATTAGGCTACAGCCATAGGTATTACAGATTGTAAGCATGCCAGAATGAGTTAATGGAGTTTTAGCCTTCATCCTGCATTTCCTCACTTTCTGTGGTTTCCTCTGTCCCCAAGCCATTTTTATTATCTGAGCATTTAAAGTTTTGAGTTTTTTGCTGGCTTGCTTTTTAAAAAAAAAGCCATTTTCCCATTCTTAATGACCTTGCAAACCAGGGTTTAGACAATACATTCCAGAATATTGTACCAAAAGCCCCCCCCCCCCACACACACACATATACCCTCTTTGTAATTCTTTTTGGAGAGCCGCAATGAACTAACAGTTCAATAATAGTTGGTGGCTGCTGCATCATATCTGATCACTTGAAGCTTTGGGGTGGTAATTTTATAGTGGACGGTAAAAAGTTATTCACTTCCCAGCCAGAAAAAGGAGACATTATACACCAGGTTTCTCATCTCACCCTTGAGCAATTTTCTGTCCGTTTACATTGGCACTAGTTTGAAAACGAGGCTAATTTGCTGGAAGACTTCCACATTTTCTCTGTAGACTCTATGAACAGAGTGACCTCTAGTGGCCAACAAAAGCCCTCTTAAATAACAACTAGTCTAGCAGCAGCTTAAAGACTAGAAGTGGGTTGTATCCACGAAAGCTTATGATACCATCACATGCTTTGTTAGTCTTTAAGGTGCTGCTAGACTAGTTGTTGTTGTTGATGATGATGATGATGATGATGATGATGATGAAGTTTTTCCAGTTACAAACTACCCCTTGGAAGTTTTGGAAATTCCCCCTGTGATTACATAGAGACTACGTCTAGACTGGCATGATTTTCCGGAAATGCTTTTAACAGAAAAGTTTTCCGTTAAAAGCATTTTTGGAACAGAGCGTCTAGATTGGCACGGACGCTTTTCCTCAAAAGCACTTTTTGCGGAAAAGCGTCCGTCTGTCTACACTGGCCCTTTTGCGCAAAAGTTTTGCGCAAAAAGACTTTTGCCCAAACGGGAGCAGCATCGTATTTCCACAAGAACACTGACAATCTTACATGAGATTGTCAGTGCTTTTTCAGAAATTCAAGTGGCCAGTGTAGACAGCTGGGAAGTTTTTCTGGAAAAGCGGATGATTTTCTGGAAAAACTGGCCAGTCTAGACACAGCCACTGTGAAAAGCCAAATAACACCCATGTTAGTCTTTAAGGTGCTGCTAAACTATTGGTTGTTTTTTTTTAAAGTTTTTCCAGTCACAGCCTAACTTGGCTACCCCCCTGAAGCTTTCTTGTAATTCAAGCAGCTGGCATAGACAGGGCAGGCAGCCTCAGATGAATGTCAGCTTGAGGTTCGACTTTAAATTAATACAATTCAGTGCCTTCCTCTATGGGAATTTATAAACTAGGGCAGGGCTACTCAACATGCGGCCCATTTGTTTGCGGCTCACGGGGCGGTTTGGGTTTACATGGGGCTCAACATATGGACTACGGGTGGGATCCTTTGAACACGGCCTCCACTGGGAATTTGGGTTTACGTGGGGCTCAACATATGGACCACGGGTGGGACCTTTGTACACGGCCTCCACTGGGAACACGCTCCACAACAGCCAGGCGTCACCCAGACGGGGTGAGCACTGAAAGACGCAAGCGGACGGGCGGGCTGGAACAGATGGGTACAGGGTGTTGGCATTTCTAGCCCCCAGGGAGGTGGTGCCGGGAACGCTGCGGCCTTGTGGGAAGTGATGGCTACTTAGCCTTGTGGGCGGCCATGTTTAGGTCCGGCACCGTGGCTTTGGCATTTATCTTTGTATTCATGCCCATCAGTGTGAAAGAAGCTATTTGCATATATATTTGCATGTATATGCAACTACAGTTAAATTGCAGCCCTCGGCATGTGCTGCGAATATCATTGTGGCCCCCGGGCTTTCCAAAGTTGAGTAGTCTTGAACTAGGGCCACAAGCTTTGGATTGACGTTTCGCAGCCCTGACTGGCATGTATCCTTCTGGCTCTCAGTGATGGCGCCACACCTCTACTCTTTCCAATCCAGCTGAAATCTGTTGGAGCATTATAACAAATTTAGGTGAAGTTCGGCTCTGAAAAATTACTGTAAAAAGGCCCTGAAATGTCCCCCATTTGTGTCTTCCAGATCAAGTTTGTTCAGTTTGTTAATGCAACACAGGCCATCCTCGCTCTAAGTCCAAGATTTGTTCCAAAACACTTGGACTTATTGCGAAACAACTTAAAGCAAGGACATTTTTTTCCTGTGGCTGATTTCCATTAGCGCAAATTGATTTTTTGTGTGTGTGCAACTGAAGAGCAGGGAATGGGAGAACTTATCACGCATCAATTCCTATAAGCATCAACGACTTTCGAGCAGAACAGATGCATACCGGGGAGACTTACAGCAGGGACGCCCTGTATGTTTTTCTAACCATCAGTTCTGACATTGGAACCGAACTGGATTTTTTTTAATGAGAAAAAAAGAATGTTTTGACCCAGTCTGACCAGTGGTCCCATCTAGCCATCCTGTCATCGGATAGTGGCCAGCACCACATGCTTCAGAGGGAATGGACAGAACAGGCAATTATTGAGTGATTCATTCTTTGTTGTACAGTCCCCACTTCCGGCAGTCACGAGTTTAGGGACACCCAGAGCTTCGGGTTGCAGTCATGACCACTATGGCTAATAGCCATGAATGGACCTATCCGCCATGAACTTACCCAATTCTTTCCAAACCCATTTATGCTTTTGGCCTTCACAACATCCCCTATTAATTAGTTCTACAATTTGACTGCATTTTGTGAAGTGCATCTTCCTTATGTTTGTTTTAATCCAGCTGATTATTAATTTCTTTGGGTATATCTACAGAGCAACTTTATTTCAAACTAACATAGTCCGCGACTACACAGCCAGCAGTTAAGTCAAAATAATGTTGAAATAATGTCAAGCTGGAGGACTACTTACTCCGACTCCTGTATCTCTCATTGTGCGAGGAGTAAGGCAAGTCGGAGGAAGAGTGCTCTATTCCAAAATGAGTGCTGTGCAGACTCTCCCAATTTCAAAATAAGTTACACTATTGACATAGCTCAATTTGCATAGCTTATTTCGAGTTAACCCCTGCAGTGTAGATGCACCCTTTGTGCAACCCCTGGTTCTTGAGTTACAAGAAGGGGTAAAAGACCTGCTTTCTCCTACTCTGCTTTCTCCACACCATTCAGAATTTTATCTCTATCCAAAACCCTTACCCCGGT